TTCCACACACACACACACACACACACACACACACACACACACACACACACACAGGTGAGCTTTCTGTAATCTGCAAGTACTACTCCACAGAATCTGCCATCTGCTGCTTAAGAAAAAACAAAACAAAACCAAGGCACTAAAAATACACACGGCTGCGTCATGCACACACGACCAAACAACAAGCTTTCCGCTGATGTACTGTAACAGAAACAGAGCCTGGAGTACATGTCACAACAACTGTCTAAACTAAATTGAGTTGCACCTTTAAATATATATATCCACTCACTAGGGCACTAAGTGGCTCTGTCTGATAGCATGATCCCAAACTTTGAAACTGTCTTGCTGCGGGATTCAAGTACCTCCGAAGTTGTCCTTGGCTCGATATTTAATGTCGCAAGACAGCGTGTAAAATATTCAACATAGCAGATTGGAAAGTGGGGCCAAGCCACTAATAAGCTGGCCCAAATTAGAAGACAGTCCATATTGCAATGAAACATTGATCACGGAAGCTATTCATATTTGAAATCGAGGAAACAGAGTCTGTCCTGTCCTGAGGGATTTGGTAGGAAAAGTAATGATAAAGTCATCAGTGCTGAGGAAGACAGCAGCCTGAAGGGAACAAAGACCCGACCGGGCAGATGGTATTTCTCTCACACATTCAAACTTACTGACACACAGAACATTAAGCTTGGGCTGCCTCTAACTATTATTTCTCCTTCTGATTATCTTTTGATGAACTCATTAATAGTTGTGTCTATTATAAATCATTTGTTAATGCACATTATAATCATCCAGAGCCCAGCAGGACATCTCCAGATGCATTTGATTTTCCTCACATTTCAGAACGTGGATAAACTTTGCCTTTTTGCTTGAGAAATGTCAGTATTCTTTATTAGATTTGTTCTCTTCTTCGTTGTAGTTGGTCGATTACCAAAATAGTTGGCGCTTATAATTCTGTTAACAGACTGATCAATCATTCTAATATAATAACAATTATCTATAATAAATACAACATAAAAGTCCCACTGCACGATTTGACTGAGGATTAAAAAAATCGTTCCCGTCAGCAGGAGATTTCATTCCTGTTTAATTAAGAGCAGTAACTGCCTGATACGTCATCAAACGCTATCTTACACCCACAGGTCAATTGCAGCAATTTCAACAGAAAGGTGATTATATGCAACCGCCTACATTCACAAATGATACACATACACACACACACACACACACACACACACTCATGGCACGCCATTGGTCCAGGTGCTGTCTCAGCCCAGACAGAGAACCATTTCCACTTTTCTCCATTCAGCAGCAAAAAGGACTAAACCTGCTGAATGTAGCCTAATCAGGTAAAACACCACGGGGGAAACCTCCCCTCAGCTCTTATCCTGCCTTGTAAACATTTTGCACGACCCAGCAGCCCAAAGTCCCCCCCCTCAGCTCTCTGACAGCGTGGAAAGGTCTGAGCGAGTGCTGTTGTGGGCGGAGGTTCGTTGGCATGCCAGTGTTGGCGAATTTATCCAGGAAAAGTGACTCAACGTTTGGACCAGTTTAACCACACCTATTCCCTAAGGCTGTCCTGAGCCTCGGGTACAAACATGTTGGCATTTGTTCCGTTGTCATCAGGCAGCATTCCGTTTCGATTTCTATTCAAACAAAATGTTTTGTTTTTTTAAAGGGTATCAAACATTTATGTATGTGATTCACCAGGGAGGGTTTACACGCAGGTCTACAGTGTTTCCCACATAATTTGATTCTATTTGTGGGGGCATCCTGTGGGGTTTATTCTCCCAGAAATATAATTTACAATTTAGGCATTTAGCAGACGCCTTATTCCAAAGTGACTTACAATGACCAATTACAGGGACATTCTGCCTGGAGTAACTGAGGGCTAAGTGCCTTACTCAAGGGCACACTAGTAGTGGTGTTCCAGGCGGGATTTGAACTCGCAACCTTCCGATCATCAGCCCACCTCACTTCTTTTTTATGAGATCCATTTGCGATGGCCTGCCGCAAATAAATCAATGTATGGGAAACACTGGAGGGAGGTTGCAGGACAAGCAATGGAAATAAACTCAGAATCTAAGTTGAGCTGGAGTCGTTTTGGATATCTGTTAGGGATGTCCCGATCACCTTTTTTTGCTCCCGATCCGATTCCGATCATTTGATTTTGACAATTTGCCGATACCGATCTTTCCCGATCCGATCTTTATGCAATGCATTAAAAAGAAAAAAAAAAAAAAAAGCATTCAAGTTGTCCCTTAAGGTTATTTTTTTTATTTAAATTGGATATTCTATCCAACATGGATATAGCTTCTTTTTTTCACAGCAGCATTGGATCAGTTCAGTTTTGCAGCATTGGATCTAAACAAAATAAAGCTTATCAGTACTCGTTAGCTTACTGCTACGATTAGACACTGCGCCCTGCCCACTCTGTTGCCAGATTTGAGAGAAATAAGCAACCAGGTCTATGAAAACAAGCCCCAAAGAAGCAACACATACATGATGTTGTGTAATTTGAAACCAAAACTAAGGCCTCAGGATGACTTTAAGACTTGAACATGGTCATTTTTGTTTTGTAATATTGAATAAAAATATTTTTTTATTCAATATTACAAAACAAAAATGACCATGTTCAAGTCTTAAAGTCATCCTGAGGCCTTAGTTTTGGTTTCAAATTACACAACATCATGTATGTGNGAGGGAGGGTTGGGTTTGTTTTATTTTGTTTTTATTTTTATTTCTGTTTGTCTGTATTATTGTTATTATTTTTAGCTAACATATGTATTCCCTATTCTGCATTTTGTATATTTTGTAAGTAATTGCTGTTATCTAATTGTTGTGCTTTTGATTGTACATGTTGTGAATTAATTTCAATACAAATGTGATCAAAACAAATGTATTTTAAGCTTATTTAATTACATTAGGAAGTAAAGACTGTATCAAGGACCATCCCTGCTAATGGCTTGTAAGGACGATGTTGAATCTCCCAACTTTAAGCTGCAGGCCACTTTCTCTATAGGGATAAAACGGTTTTGCACTCAGTTTCACACGCATGTAGCTTTGCTCATGCATCCGTCTTCTCCATGCTCCTCTTCTTCCTTTACCCTCCTGACATGACTCCATCATGCAACGCTGCTGAACTCATTTACACTTCACAGGCTTCCTCCCATGGAGCGCTTTAAGCTGGGATGGCGTGACTCTGTGTATCCTGTGATAGAGTTTTAATCTCAAGTTTAAGAGTGGTCGGTTCAGTCTAATCCAAAAATGTATATTTCCACATGTAGCAATAAGTGTTAGATCTTGTCACTGGTCAACGGATTGAGCTTGAATCTCAGGATCCATGTATCTGTGATCCTCTCCAGAATGGAAGTAGTCATCACATACAGAGCATCAACTAGTTCCTGAACAGTGTCCTTCACATGCTGATATCCAAGAGAGGGAGTTCCACAGTCACAAGATGGAGGAATAGAAAGCAGTATTCAATGTTTACTTCAGATTAGCTCCACGTCAGAAATGATCATGCTTGTCATATGTCTCTCTCCATAGAGGCTGAATCATCATGTTAATCACATAGCTATCATATGCCTCAAACAGTCCTGATGCTCTTCTAGGTAATCACACATCCTGTCATGTTACAGCTACAGTTGGGATACCTTTGTTATCATGTGTACATTGGAAGAGTACATTCAGTATTTTCCTAACACTTTGTATGAATATTGAGCCATGTGTTGCTGCTCTTCAGATATCCCGTCATCTTAGAGCACTTTTCTCTGCGGCCCGGCTCAGGAGGAGCAGGGAAATACTGCGGGGGAGACGGGGTGGTGAGGAAACTTCTGTTCAGGAACCAGGTGGTGCTGTCGGTGCTGACGGAGAGGAGGTCCACCCGACCGTACGGCCTGCAGGGTAACCTCCGAATCAGAATACCTTTATTCGTCCCATAGAGGGGACATTTACATTGTTACAGCAGAAAAGAGCCAAAGACAGCTTAATGTTACCTCAGAAGCATGCGTAAACAAATATTAAAGATACAAAAATTATAATAAAAATTACACAACAAAATACACATCCTGTAACAACCTCTGACCCTTTCAACTTGAACCAGCAGACATTTTATAAACCGCAATAAACCGTATTTAATTTGTTGTCTTAATTGACATTATTTTATTTAATATTCTGTACTTGTACATATCCTATTCTATTTACATGTATATAGACTTGTATCTTTTTTTAAATTATTATTTATTCTACTATTTCAACAATTAGACAGTTTATACATCTAAAAAACAAACACAATGTGTAGAAGTGGGAGGGCAGAAAGCAGTCTGTACAGAGGTAGCCCTCCCGCTAGTCATCCTGTTGCAGAATAAAGTAAATAAAAGATAATTAAATACTCACACAGATAAACTAAATTCTATATATACATACACATACATATGTACACATATACATACATACATACACCCATTTATCCATCCATCCATCCATCCATCTTCTCCCGCTTATCCGTGGTCGGGTCGCGGAGGTAGCAGTTCCAGCAGAGAGCCCCAAACTTTCTTTTCCCTGGCCACATCAACCAGCTCTGACTGGGGGATCCCAAGGCGCTCCCAGGCCAGCGAAGAGATATAATCCCTCCACCTGGTCCTAGGTCTACCCCTTGGTCTCTTCCCAGCTGGACGTGCCTGGAACACCTCCCTAGGGAGGCGCCCAGGTGGCATCCTAACTAGGTGCCCTAACCACCTCAACTGGCTCCTTTCGACGCGAAGGAGGAGCGGTTCAACTCCAAGTCCCTCCCGGATGACTGAACTTCTCACCTTATCCCTAAGGGAGACACCAGCCACCCTGCGGAGAAAACCCATCTCGGCCGCTTGGTTAACGAACAAGTACCATTAGAGTGCATACCACAGAAACAGAGAAACCCACTCAAAACGAGGGTGCGAACGGACACTTCACCTGAGCAGCAAACACTCAGAAAAAAAGATAGAACCGACTTAAAATCAATGCAGGTGTAAGAAAAAACTTCGTAGGGTGTAAAATTACTTGTTTTGGAAACACTCACAGTCGGCCGAGGACAGCGGAACGGAAGGCTAGAGTGTAATCTTTCCTTTGAATTAATTTTTCTATAGTGTTTTCCGACAGCCCGTTGAGCGAAAAGTTAATGGTAAAGAAAACAATCAAATTTCGAGAGTTAGTCGTTTCATAGGGCTGCCGGCGTGTGTGAGCGACTTTGCGCAGTCGCATAGACGACAAAAAGGACGGGCTACCAAGTTACTGGCCTCTAAACGGCCCCGACTTGGAGTCCGACGCAGCAGTTATGGATTTAGTAGTTTTATAGTGAACTACTGACGCGTCCGCAACTCTTCGAGGCTCACATAATGACGGCAAAGTAGCACAAACTTTACAATTTCCAGCTCCGACACGGTCACATGTAAAATTTTAATTTAATGGTTGTTGACAAAGAAATTCCTAATTGTTGTACTCTTTTACGAATGGTCTTCACCTTCGTTCCGTGTGTGTCATAATGGTGTCGCGGTCATGTGGATGTCGTCGTTGCCCTTGGTATAATTCACGTTCTCTACTATGTTACTCTCACGATAACCTAACAAGGGTGAGAGTATCAAAATTTTCCAGTTGAGTTCTTACTAACTCTTTCTGTTTGGTCTAGCACGGTTAGTGGGCGATTTACGTAAAATTGTGTCCTCATAGAGGAGAACATGAAATACAACACGTAGAGAACAAAGTAGAGAACGTGAATTATCAGCAGACGGACGACGATCACTGACGGTACACCATTTATGACACACACGACGAGAACGAGAAAACGGTATAGTACATAAAATAAGAAACGGATACAAACTACTGCTTTCTCTCGACCTAGGTCTTCCCGTTTCGAAGAGACAGATGCGGCGGTAAAGGGAGGACGGGAAGTGAGTAACCAGTACTTTCCATACCCAGTACTGGGTTTCTTGGCTCCTAGCANGAAGCCTGTGAAGTGTAAATGAGTTCAGCAGCGTTGCATGATGGAGTCATGTCAGGAGGGTAAAGGAAGAAGAGGAGCATGGAGAAGACGGATGCATGAGCAAAGCTACATGCGTGTGAAACTGAGTGCAAAACCGTTTTATCCCTATAGAGAAAGTGGCCTGCAGCTTAAAGTTGGGAGATTCAACATCGTCTTTACAAGCCATTAGCAGGGATGCAGCTTACAAAATAAACCTATTCTCCTTGATGGTCTGTCTCTGCAGACCATTTACATGCACTAAAACCTATAGAACACACTACAGGAGAGGGGAACTCCAAAAAAGCAGAATAGGGCCCCTTTAAACGTTCCGTGCTTCAAAAGGGAGATTTCTGTCAGGAAGAAATACAGTCTTTACTTCCTAATGTAATTAAATAAGCTTAAAATACATTTGTTGTGATCACATTTGTATTGAGATTAATTCACAACATGTACAACCAAAAGCACAACAATTAGATAACAGCTATTACTTTCAAAATATACAAAATGCAGAATAGGGAATACATATGTTAGCTAAAAATAATAACAATAATACAGACACACACACACACACACACACACACACACACACACACACACACACACACACACACACACACACACACACACACACCACCAGCGCTATCAGACAGGAGTGTATACCCCTAAGATACATTTGTATTTGTTCGACGGAACAAATACAAATGTATCTTAGGGGTATACACTCCTGTCTGATAGCGCTGGTGGTGTGTGTGTGTGTGTGTGTGTGTGTGTGTGTGTGTGTGTGTGTGTNATTTTTATTTTTTAATCATCTCGCGACCCCCACTTTGGGAACCCCTGTCCTAAAGGGCAGCAGCTAAACCCATGTGACACAGATATAGGAAATGTACTCTCAGTGTGTCGCCTCCTCTTTAACTGGTCTATGGTAGTAGCAGTATTAGCAACAGAAACAGCAGTTAGTAGGAATAGTAATACAGAAATAGATCCAGTGCTAAGTGAAGGCACAACAGTGGTAAAAGTAGTAGAAGTATATTAGCAGTATATCAAAGTACACCTATTAATCATTGTGTTTCTACACACTCACTTTGTGCAAGTGGTGCACACAGCTCTCTTTCTCGTAGTACTCCTTCAAGGAGCTGTAGCCGTGGAATTTCCTGTAGTACAAGATTGTGATAAGATCAGTGATAAGATAAAATAAGAGCTCCAAAGAATATGACATTAGAATAAATGTATCCAAATCTAAAATCCTCCCAAACTCCACCTCATGATGCTGTCGTCGATCTGCATCAGAGACGTAGCTGCGTACAGTCGGCCCAGGTCTGCATCTCCAATGTTGCTGGAGTTCAGGCCAAGCAAACTGCTCCTGTTGAACAAACAATAAAAGGTATTTAGACACTTCAAGCCAGGAAACTAAATCTTGTGTGGCTGGTTAGCCCTGTCCAACACAGTCAGAGAGGTTATTCAGCAAGTCTGTCTAAAGGAAATCAAACTATTGGCATATTTTTTCAGCATTTGGCCGACATCTAGGAATGTTACTTGTCTATATTGGACCGATAGGGAGTCAAGAAAGTATTGTACATGGCGTGTTGTCATTAGCTTTCTTGCTAGATTAATCCACTGCAATCAACAACCCAATACTCCCAAATAAAAGCAAGACCCAAGCTTTGTTTTGTACATTTCTGATACAGCTGAAAGCAAAGATGTCACTGCAGAAAGTGTTGTTGTATTTCCTCACCTGTGGTTCAGGATGAGCTTCTTCATGTTGTCAGCCAACACAAAGTTGTAGAGCCTCCTGCACTGATCCCACTGGAGGAATGTCTCCTGAGCCCTACACAAACACACGCACAAACTCATTAATGCATGCACACACAATGGGAGGAAAAACACATGACCTGCTCAGAATAAAAGCTTTAAGATAACCAGTTCTTAGGTTAACATTTAATGAATACTCAAAGGTTTGTGGGCCGCAATTGGAGCACCATTCTAGTACATGCATTTGATTTTATTAAGATTAGATATCAATTCAATTTGTTTTCAGTGCATATAAAAGCAACAATACATTATATGCAAAAAGGTATACAGCATGGTATTGGGTAAGCATATAATAAAGTACTGTATGTATGACAAAAAGGGTTAAGATAATGTAATTTATCATATTTGACCCCTAGTGGGCCGCGAAGGCATTGCAAGTGGGCCGCCAAATAATTTGCAAAACATTATGATTTGTTTGGAAACATTTTCATTATTAAAATTTTTTTTTATTTGAACCTCCTTTCCTTTCTCTTTCTCGATCCTCCTTAGCAACGGTCATTACAGTCCTTGACAGCGGTCTGTCTGTACTACGGGATTAACAACGTGTCACATGTTCTGAATTGACCAATTGGAACTTTATTTAGCCTCCGTATTGTTTATGGTAGAATGTGGGCCGCAAAAAACTTTTAGATTCTTAAGTGGGCCCAGAGGTGAAAAAGGTTGGTAACCGCAGGTGCATACACTACAGGTCTGATATGCACAGATGGTGGTGGATACAGTCCTGGTTCTGAGCCTGTGTTTGTCTTCACTAACCTGAGGGCGCTGTAGCCCTGGCACACGGTGACGCAGCACGCCACTCGTTCCTGGTTGGATCGGTTCTCTCCCAGGAACTTACAGACGATGTTTCCCCCCAGACTGAAGCCCACCACCACCAGCAGCGTCTCAGGAAGCGCTCGTTTGATGTAGCCCACCATGGCCGCATACTCCCACGTACAACCTGAATGACGGAAAGAACTCTTTTACAACTCTAATTTAGTGATAAATACTAGGAGTGTTAGGGTAATGAAACTGATACTCAAACTTTGATGCCAACATTCAGTGTGGTTTTGTGTTCCACTATTTAAGTACCTTCATTCTTACAGTAACAATTATGAGCCACCGATTAATCTTTACGTTTTTATAGATGGAAAAAAAAATATGATTAGAATTTTGGTTTTCCCCACTGTACCTAATACGAACCAAACCACGAATTCCGTACACTGTCATACCACTAATAACTATTTCATTATGACATTAGATAAATGGTCAAATCATTTCAAATGTATTACATTTTATTTAAAGGCTATGATAAAGTCATCTCCTTCAAAAAGGAGGAAAATACACTTTTTCTCAGTGTGTTGCTTTGTTACAACTTCTTTCCGACTCTTCTGTTTCATGTTTCCTTCGTCATGCTGTTCTTCCCCTTAATTTCAGTTCTCCATAATTTAATGAACCAACATCAATTACTCAACAAAGTGAGCTTCCCCATTAAGGTTTGAACTGTTACAAATCACACCCGTAACTCATGAGTCTGCCATGTGATGATCCCTCTTACCGTAGGTGAACATGCGTGGCGAGGTGAGCTCCATGTCGGGCAGCGCTCCCAGGTGGTTCAGGACGGCGCAGCGGTACCCCTGCCGCTGGGAGTAATCCACAAATGTCCGGATGTAGTTCTTCTCGCTATGGTTACCAATCCCAGGACAGATTACCATGGTAATGTCATCTGACAAACACACAGACACAAAGTGGAGTCATGTGTTGGTCTAAAAGTGGACGCCATGTGTGTGTGTGTGTGTGTGTGTGTGTGTGTGTGTGTGTGTGTGTGTGTATGTCTGTCTGTGTATCTTTATTTATCTGTGTGTGTGTGTGTGTGTGTGTGTGTGTGTGTGTGTTCCAAACTCAGGTCAAAATGCAGGTAAATAATAACAATAATCAGTGAAATATCTTCATCAACAGACAGAAGTAGTCGTGTGTAGGGCTGCACGATTTGGAGAAAATAACAAATTGGGATTATTTTGACTGATGTGGCATTTGCTATATGATTTGTAATTTTACAGGAATGACCATTTAAACATAGACATTGAAAAATGTATTAAATTATAATGGTATGAGTTTTAAAGTTGTCCCTTTCCTGTAGTGTGTTATATAGATTTTAATGCACGTAAATGGTCTGCAAAGTCTAGTCCATATTGAAAATCTATTAATTCTGCAGCCCTGCTTGTGTGATTTAATCCTTAATGTGCAGTCAATCCAAAGCCAGCTGCTTTACTGCTTCACCAGATTAATCAGTTGTTGCCACTGACCTCCAGTGCTGTGGTCCGCACGAGCTTCGAAGAGGTCAAAGCTCGCTGTGGCCCCGTCCTGCATCGGGAGGAACTTGCGCACCCCACATGGCTTAGGAGTGTTGATTCGTCCCATCTTCCCGTACAGGACCGTCTGGAGGTGTCCGCTCTTTCCCCACAGCGGGGGAGGAATGTATCTGAAGAGAGGGACGAGCTCCATATTACATATCACAGCTGTAGCCGCCACCCCGAAGATTTCTCAGAAAAGATTATCACACATCACAGAGGCTCGCATACCACTCTAACTATAGGAGGTGGCAGACAGACCTACAGACACGGTCAGTCATTAGAGCACCATTCCAGTCCTTAATTCAGTCTGTACTCTTCACTAGAGAACATTGCATGGTTGTGGTTGGCATTTATAGGCCAGTAAATCCTGCAACTAACTCTAGACTCCTTTGTCCCGTGTACCGTAAACATAAGTGGGTCTTGCAATATTTAGCATGTCGGAGGTCTTTGAGTTCCAGGTTTGCAGGATGAACTGGAAGAGCAACATACTGGTTATCCACGTGCAAGCAGCCATGGTTTGTTTAGGATGAAGAGCATTACATCTACATGTTTAACACGTTGTGGGGTAGATAAACAATAAGACCGAAGGACACTGCCACCGTTATCTGAAAACTCAAGAAAAAAGATAATCACAAGTGTAGGGGAGAAACTGAATGAGTAACTCCATAACTATGCATCAACTTCAGTTTGCAGGTCTTCGGGGGACTACAACTGAAGACAGTTTTATAAAAGATCCAGAGGCAGCTGCATACAGTTACATTTCATTTAAATGTCTTGGGGCTTATCACTACAAGTTTGTACATTTGGAAAACTGGTGTAGAGTTATAATGATTACCAGCACCACACCTTAAACTCTCACTTAACTCTCAGCTGAAAGATTACCTGTTGGGTTATGTAGGCAACTAGTTTTGACAAGTAATAAGGAAGAATGTGCAATGTGTTTACACTGGGTTTGTATTTCTCTTTGCTAGATAAAGGTCATGACACAATAGACAATTGAATTCCCTTTGAGGACTAGATGGAGACAGACTGGTTTAGATTTGAGGTAATCATACAGCCCTGTTAGTGTTTTATTTGTATGCCTCTCTTTCGTTCTTGGACTGTTGGGAGAGTTACCCTAAACACAAAGCTAACAACTGATAACACAAGAGCGTGTTGTACTTCCCTAGTGACACAACAGTTCTCCTGTGGGTTTGGGTTCCACTATAACAACAACCACTTAAAGTTGGTAAAGTAAAAACTACTTTTCATCAACCTGAAATCTTAGAAAGTTCTTTTTACTTTTGATTCTTTACACCAAAGCATTTGTCAGGTGTTAGGCAGCTCGTACAGTTGCTAGAAGCTAACTAGTTGATTTACCAAGATAAGATATACTTTATTGATCCAGTTTGGGATTTTTTTTTAAACAAGGATTCTGCATTCGACCCATCCTTGTGTCAAATGCAGAATCCTTTTTTGTTGTTGCCATTATGTAAGGAAAGATGCCTTGCTCAGAGGCACCTTCCCTCTGTATAGATACCTTAGATAGATTTATTGATAAATGATGTATACTATATTTTAAAAAGAGGGGTTTGATGACTTAACAAATAATGTTTTTTCTTCGTTACTTATTTTGATCGCTCCTTCTTATCACTGTATGTGAAAATGACCTCTTAAAGTAAAAAACATCTTGCATGTCCTCAGTTTCAAGTCTGAGTCTCCAGGTCAAGTCTGAGTCGTTAATGTCCGTGCTTGTATTACATAAGGCTGTTACTGATAACTAAGATTAGCTAGTGTAAATGTAAATGCCAAAAAGGTATGACACACACACTCTCTAATGAGTCATTCACTGCTCCGGTCCAAGGTCCATCAGAAGTATTACAAACTGGGAGTGTATAATAATAATAATTAACACTCACTCTGTGGTCAACATGGGGCAGGTTTTGAACAGGTAGCGGCTCAGTGGTGTCTCCTGGTAGACGACCTCAGGAGGCGAGGCGGTGCTCTTCAGGTTCAGACAGCGCACGATGATGTAGAGAACCGTCGCCACCGCTGCCAGCTTCATGCCATCAAACATGGCCGGCAGCTCCGTGCCGAAGGTGTTCATCTCAGCGTCCTCCAGGACGGTCATCGTGCACAGGGAGAGGACCTCTGCACAGCATGTTAGGAAAGCAGATGCATGACCTATTAAGAGCTTACAGGAGGTGGAGGGTTATCGAGACAGTAACATGACTCCGTTTTCATTGTCCAAATGGCTGAGATTGAAAGAAGTACTACAGAAAATGTAGTTTTAGAAATATGCCTGTAATGGTTTTGGGCTTCCCCTTCTTTGGCAAGTGTGGAGTTTTTACTATTCTTAGTGTGCAAAAAACCCTTAGAAAAATCGAATCTGTACTCTGGTGTCAGTGGGAAGTTTTAGATTTGTCATCCTGCCAAAGTACATCCCGACACAGAATGAATAAATATTGACTTTTGGAGGGGAAAAAAGCCAGGTATTGGCAGAGGTGGAAGAAGTATTTTACTTAAATTAATACTCCACCTAAAAAATTATCAATTGTACACCACTTACCTGAACTTCAATTCTTCAATGTTTTGATAGATTTGTTCTCTTATTAAAAGCTTATTTACTCAAATTCTTAAAAGACGTTTCTGTGTTTTTGGATTCTCCATTCATCATGGAGACTTCGAGGAGATAACTCAAGTTATTTATATTCTTTATCTGCTGGGTAGATGGTGAATTTCCCTCAAGGGATCAATGCAGCTGTATAATAAATTATAAAAATACATCATAGGCTACTGCTTTTGTCGCTATGTTTGCTTTACATTTCCATATGGAAAGTGACTGAAGTCATAAAATACATGGGGTATAGAGTACAATGTTTGCTTCTAACATTTAAAAAACCTAATGTTGTTGTGGATTAGATGCATGACAAAGAAAATAGAAATACCTAAGTAAGGTGCCACAAAATGTTACCAACAGTACTTGAATAAGTGTATCTACTTTCCAGAGCTGGGTGTTGGATGCTTCTATTCAAAAGTATTTATACAGATATTTATCATTGGGAAATCATTTATGAGTTATTCTGTACCCATAGTTTGCTCTTATTAACCAGCAGAGTTGCCCTCTATTGATTTTACCCACCTTGTTATCTGACTTTGACGGAAATGCAGTGGCTGTGGTGGTCCCTCCTGTTTGTCTGATGATGCTCTCTCAGTGCTGGAAAACAAACAAATACTTGTTAAGACTTACTGGTTTCAGAGCCTTAGGGTAAACCAACAGGAGGTTACACTCAAAACATTAAAAACCAGCATGTAGTGTGCCGTTATATCACATTTTGATCCATTTATAATGCATGAACGACACAACCGCAACGACAAAAACTAGAATATGATAACCTATGATAAAACAAACAGCCAGCTGAGCTCCGTTTAGCTTAAACACGACCAAAACGAAGTGCCCTTGGTTTAAGTTTCTTGCATTCTTTTGTTTTGATACTCAGGTAAAACTATTCCTGAAGAAGGTTGAGGTGAGGCTGAAGGCGTTCAACTAACACAAACACCACATGGACTTCACTAAAAGTACATATTAATGTTTTAAAAAGTATATGGAGAATATATCCGGTCGTACCATCGTTGTTCGTAGTTTTCAGTCCAGTTTCTGGTCGGATCCAGCCGGAGTCAAGTCCCTGAACACACCGTCTGTTTACAGCAGAGGAGTGACTGACCAGCAGGGAACTAAGACGCGTTCAAGGCCTCTTATAAAGCTCTGACTTAAAGTCGTATAAACATCCAATAGTACAGAAATAATACATTTAGCGAATTTTTTGTATAACTGTGACTTTATAATGTTTATCACCTACCCATTAATAAGTTATCATAAATTATTTATGGATTAAATCCCCATTTTCTGAGTTATTAACTACTTTAGCTTCCGTATTCGTTGTTTCTAAGTTTGGAATCGGACAGCACGTGAAGGCAGCATTACGGTGTAGTTTACTTCCTATTTATTCAGAGAAACCAAGCATCCTAATTTATAGTAACAACATGGGTGGGATTACATTGGGCAAATCCATGTCCACCTATAAGTAAACCCACTCTCTTAAAAGGAAAAAATAAATAAAAATCAGGGTTTAATCTTGGCCAACTTTACTGGCTTCGTAGTAAAAGAAAAAAGCATTTGTAGGCCTAGTTGTTTTTTTCTCTTATTTATTTAAATTGATATTATGCCTACCACTACAACTATGATCATAATTATTATGAATATTATTGTATTATTATTACTATTAATATTACGTTTACTATTATTATTCACTGGAGGCTTACTTTTTACAATGACACGCAGATATCAACACACTTCATGTAGCTATACAAATATTTATATTATTTCAAACACTTATAGTCAATATCTTGTGTCTGATTAAGCTCAAATAAACGTAGTACATATTCTGATTGTATGTGACACCACAATGGTTTTAATTATGTGAAGTGACAACACAACAACAATTCAAACATAGTCCTGTTTTTGATTGCATCGTTAAAGCTTTTTTGTAATTCAGATAAACTGAGATTACAGGGTAGTAATTCATTAAACTTCAGTGTTCAGTGATGAGCCAGACTCTACTTCATTGCGTTTTTAACCACTAGAGAGCGCCATCCACCAATGGGACATCCAGCGTGATAAGTAGCATTCATGTTTATTCACAGTGACTTTATCATGCTTTTAATATATTCTCTTATTGATATTTGTGCAGGATCCCTTTCAAATGTATTTCATCTTTATTATAATGTGTCAATGGCACTGTTTATATGAGAAAATATGAGTACATCTTCTTCTTAAACATGATGTTAACCCTTACATAATATTTAAAATGTATTAAGAGAAAGACATCCATTTGATGAAGTGGAGTGAGAGTGTTTTAAGTTGTTTTCACTTTGTAAAATATGTTATTTCAAATGTGTTGATTCCTTTTATTTCGTTATTTAAAATTTCAAATACACATGTCTTACAATAAATAAGGCCTAACTTTGAGAGCGTATTTTGTGTTTCATGTAAACTTGATACTTTTTTATTTTAATAAACAAAGTTGAAAGAAATAGGTGCACAGAGATGTTAATGCACGATTAATGGATGATCATTTGATTTTCTTTTTCATTTGATCTGATTCTTTGGCATCCAATCAATTCAGTATTACCTCTGAACATAAACTGTTTACCTTTAGAGACCCCTAACTCTCATTTATGTTGTGCACTCATTGGGTTTGGCACAGTGCGGATTAACTTAGTGAGCAAAAACAGCTGTGTATAAAATAGGTTTAAGTTGAACTGTGGCTTTTTTTTGTTCTTCTTCCAAATAAGCAACATCACAGGAATGTAAAATTCCCCTCCTCAATCATATCCACTTCCTCATCATGAGGTTATTCATGTGTGTGAATCCTCACTTGTGTTTTCAGATGTAAGACAGAAGTGAAATAGGACTCCTTTTAATGTGGAAAACAGAAGTGAAAAATTCACAGATACACAACCTGGTATAGATTTATGAATTATAGCATTTCCTTCTCCGGGTAAAGCACATTTTCACAAGGTTTGAGTGTAGAGGATTATTCTGTGCTTCACATTGAGGATTAGGATCAAACAGGCTTATGTCACATTGAAGCTTCATCCAACAATTATGAACTTCTGCCTGTGCCTGAGACTCTGGGAGGGTCAGTCATGAGAAGAAGCTTTGTCTGACAGAGGGGGAACATCAGAGGATGCTGCCTGGTGGAGGCTCACCACATTTGACGGCTGCTTTACGTCAACCAGCCCGTAGCACATGACTCCTCTTATGGTTTCATGACTGCACGGATAAAGCCATTCCCCCCCCCCCTGTTGAGACTCAGCGTTTAGGGATCTTGCTGACTCCAAAAAGAAGAGGGGTTTAAGTACTGAAACACACTTCGACATGTTGAAAGCTTTGGCATTTTCGGTGCCACGGGAGTGGAAAATCTCTGTCATCCTTGCATTTTGCTGTCTTCTAAAATATCAAGAAACCTTTTTTTGGCATGTAGTGGTTGTCACCAGCTGTTTTTATGATGCTCTTAAACCGGAATTTGGTCAAGTCAAATATCTTAGGGACAGGAAGAGTGCTTTTCTGGGATGCTGGGATAATGACATACATACATGTGGTTTAAATAAAAAATGCATTGCAAAAAGATTTAAGGAAAAGGCTGCAGGCTGCATCTAACACAACAGTGTTTAGTTCTTTAAAGTTGTTGACAGAAGAAACATGAACAGGGCTCAATTAATCTGTTGTGTACAACATAATCTGTGGGCCCTTTACTGAACCCCTGATTCTCCCACTCTCTCCTCACACATTTGGAATGCATTGTTTTGAATGATACAAACAAATGATGATCCAATTCAATTGAGAAACCATGAATAAGTTGTCCTTGTGCCCCCGAGGGCGTTAAAAAGGTAGATGCAAAGTCTCCACCTGCACCTGCACTCTGTGGCACCTCAAAATATTTTTCAAAGGACTGAAAACTGAAAATCACGGGGTGGCAGAAACCACAAACCATAAACCATAACTGAATTTCAGGATCTATACTATGCCAGTGTAGTTTAATAGGTTATTTAAAAAATATGAGAGTTAGGAATTGTACAGACAGACTCTGGTTTCTTATCTCATGTGCATAGAATGAATTTGGTACATTTACTTTGAATTGACAAAAATGCAGCTTTGCATGTAACATGCAACACGTGTTATGTCATCTGTTATTTTTTAAATACTATTCAAATTTTTACTTAATAAGACATACAGTATATTTGGCATGAATTTGAAAGAGATATAAGGAACAAAAGCTTTCTGGAATCAGCCTACTCATAGTTTAAAAACATCAATCAGAGGCTTCCCATATAATGCAAAAGAGACATGCAAGGGGTGCCCCCCCACCTGGTCACACCTTAGTGATGCCAAAACGTAAAGTGCTGCTCTTGCAGATCACCGTCAGTACCTAAAATCCAGAGGACAGTGTCACCACTATGTTGCATGAGAACACGATTTTGACGTTTTAACATGCATAATATTTAGTTACAGTATACAGTCGATGGATTATATAACACATCCCTTAATGCAGAGTACAAAAAATGACTAATGTGATTAGCTGTAAACTGCACTTGCTGTATTTCAAATAAACCTGCTAAAAGAATCATTTCTATAGTTCCCATATCTACCATTTAACCCCTATACTTTTCCAATACACAATTTGCACACACAGAAGCGTGTACTGTTATGTCACTTCTGCTTTAAGTTTCCCAGCATATCCTTGGTTTGCCTCGGAAACACCTCACAGCCTTCTGCATTTTAATTCACGTGATATTTAAAGGACAGAAAACTGAACACACTTTACAAGATTTGACCTAATAAAGGGAAATATGCACTTTCATTTCTTTTTTATGTCACATCTCGGTCACAAAGTCCTTCAGTTCCGGTCTTACAGTTTACTCACCTTCTTTTTGACCTACTGTTCATCACACTAATGAGTGGGAATATAGGAGCTTGGTACCGCCCCATTTAGCTAGAAATGTTGCTTTGATGTGAAAAGGTCATCCGGGGAAAAGGATTTTTTGTTGGTCCTGCATGTGAGAACAAGGGCTATAGGTTTCACACAAGACTGAGGCATAATTTTGAACTGCATTTGATTTTCATTACATGAGAAAGGAGAGACAAATGAAGCATGGAGATGTGATGTGAGCACACCATCAAAGCAGCCTTTTTCCTCTGTATTTTTCCACCAAGCGTGAGATCATTTAAAGCTGCATTTAAATAACTTTGGCCTGTTACTAGGCTACAGAAGAGTACATTTTCCCCTGCTAATCAAAGTGTGTAGAGTTCATCTGAGAATACGGTTGCTACTACTGTAATGAGACACATTTCAAATCACAGGGAAACAAAGAATGGATGCAGAAATATACTTCATTTTCATTTCATTTAATTGTTTATTTGAATAGGGACAATGCACATTAATGAACACTTTAGACAAATAATGCTTCAAGTAAATATGCCGGATTTTTGTTTTTTGCTAATTTCCATCCGTAGTCCCTGACAGACAACATATAAGAACATGACATTTGTAAACATAGCAAAAAATAAATACATTATATGCAAAAGAGCAAGAGCAGCATATACAAGTATTTACCTCATGCAGCACACTACGGGCAGTCCATGTAAACATTTATAAATAAAACAGATACTTTTAAAAGACTCAAAATTGTCAAAACTCAAGAAATTGTGTTTTTCAAGGATGGTACAGTGGTGGTATGAATATGGCTTTCTGTCAAACACCTTGATAGCTCTCTTGTACACTTTTAAGGCTAAAGCAGAAGTCACATCCTTTAAAGTTGATAATGACTGTTGTTATATTCAGGCTGCTTTTGTCTCCTAAATGTGGATAAAACATACAACCAAATCCTTTTCATAGATGCAGGAGGAATGAGATGAAAGACAGAATCGGCCTACACGGTTGGACATCAATCTCAGATTCACACCCATTAGAAACCATTTTTCACCTCACGCCCACTGTCTCCACGAGCACAAAAATCAATTCTGACCCACAGCTGGATGTTGACGGAAGAAACGCCCACACATGAACCTTTTTGGCTCTCCACAATAAAACATTGGCCTTAATCTGCATTTCAGAGGAGGATTTCATGCATGGCGCAATCATGGGAATTTCCC